CCACCCTCTCCACTCCCCACCCTCTCCACTCCCCACCCTCTCCACTCCCCACCCTCTCCACTCCCCACCCTCTCCACTCCCCACCCTCTCCCACCTCTCCACTCCCCACCCTCTCCTCTCTCCACCCCTTCCTCTCTCCACCCCTTCCTCTCTCCACCCCTTCCTCTCTCCACCCCTTCCTCTCTCCACCCCTTCCTCTCTCCACCCCTTCCTCTCTCCACTCTCTCTAATCTCTAGTCTGTCCTCCTATTTTGGTGCAAGCCTCAAATAAACATGTCCATCCCACACCATCCCCTCCCAATTTGTCCCATCCCATCCCAGTTTGTCCCATCACATCCCATGCCATCCCATCCCATCCCATTCCATCCCATGCCATGCCATCCCATCCCATCCCATCCCATCCCATCCCATCCCATCCCATCCCATCCCATCCCATCCCATGCCATCCCATCCCATCCCATCCCATCCCATGCCATGCCATCCCATCCCATCCCATCCCATCCCATCCCATCCCATCCCATCCCATCCCATCCCATCCCATCCCATCCCACCCCATTTCATCCGATCCCCTCCCATCCCCTCCCATCCTCTCCCATCCCCTCCCATCCCATCCCCTCCCATCCTCTCCCATCCCCTCCCATCCCCTCCCATCCCCTCCCATCCCCTCCCATCCCCTCCCATCCCCTCCCATCCCCTCCCATCCCCTCCCATCCCATCCCCTCCCATCCCATCCCCTCCCATCCCATCCCATCCCATCCCATCCCATCCCATCCCATCCCATCCCACGCTACAACATTCCCCCCCACCCCCCTCCCCCGTCCCCCCTTCGCCCACCCCGTTCGCCCCCTGCCCCACCACGTGCACAGGAGCCTCGCATCGATGGGCCTGTCTGGCCCGCTACTCACTCACATCACCACCCTCTCCTCCCTCACATACCTGTAACGCACGCCTCTCTGCTCTGCGTTACGTGTCGTGCGTTGATGCCGTAACTTTGGCCCTCCTGCTACGTGTGCTTGACACTTGCCCCACAACACAATGGCACTTGCCCCACAACACAATGCCACTTGCCCCACAACACAATGGCACTTGCCCCACAACACAATGCCACTTGCCCCACAACACAATGGCACTTGCCCCACAACACAATGGCACTTGCCCCACAACACAATGGCACTTGCCCCACAACACAATGGCACTTGCCCCACAACACAATGGCACTTGCCCCACAACACAATGCCACTTGCCCCACAACACAATGGCACTTGCCCCACAACACAATGGCACTTGCCCCACAACACAATGGCACTTGCCCCACAACACAATGCCACTTGCCCCACAACACAATGGCACTTGCCCCACAACACAATGGCACTTGCTGCAAGCTTGCTGCCATTACAAGTTCCATGCGTCATTCACGATCCATGTGCTCCTTAAACCCTCATGTGCTCCTTGAACCCTCATGTGCTCCTTAAACCCTCATGTGCTCCTTAAACCCTCATGTGCTCCTTAAACCCTCATGTGCTCCTTAAACCCTCATGTGCTCCTTAAACCCTCATGTGCTCCTTAAACCCGCATGTGCTCCTTAAACCCGCATGTGCTCCTTAAACCCACAAATGCTCCTTGAACCCTCATGTGCTCCTTAAACCCTCATGTGCTCCTTAAACCCTCATGTGCTCCTTAAACCCTCATGTGCTCCTTAAACCCTCATGTGCTCCTTAAACCCTCATGTGCTCCTTCAACCCACATGTGCTCCTTAAACCCACATGTGCTTCTTAAACCCGCATGTGCTCCTTAAACCCGCATGTGCCTATGTGCGCTCCTTGCTTTCCTCTGTGCCCTTCAACTAACACCGTATCCCACGGCGTGCACTGTTGCTTGCTTGCCATCGCCATCGCAACAACGCGCTGCCTGCCACCTCATCGCATGCCTCCCACCTCATCGCATGCCGCCCACCTCATCGCATGCCTCCCACCTCATCGCATGCCGCCCACCTCATCGCATGCCTCCCACCTCATCGCATGCCTCCCACCTCATCGCATGCCTCCCACCTCATCGCATGCCTCCCACCTCATCGCATGCCGCCCACCTCATCGCATGCGTTTGACCCATTACGTGCACGTGCCCTTCAATGTACGTGCGTGAATGTGGCAATACCACCATCAGCCATGCATCAAACAACGCTAGTCGGTTTTTGAGAATACCATTCATGCGTGCATGCACGTGCGTGCACGGGGCTCTCACTCCACCAGCTATGCGCCAGACAACGCCATTTCAGGAAGCTTCCCCGCCACCATCACAACCCTCTCCCGCCTCGTGTACCTGTCAGTCAGTCAGTCAGTCAGTCAGTCAGTCAGTCAGTCAGCTGAACACACATTTCTCCTTTCTTTCGTTCTTTGCCTAATATCGTTGCACTTCCGAGACTGGAAACTAGTAGTTCGTATGTGTAAACTTATTTGTTTTTCAGTAGTTTGTGTGTGTTGCAGCAGGCACCCTAGTGGAATCTCCTTTCTCCCATTCTTGCTTGTCTGCGCTCCTCTGCTTCGCTGCTGCTCTTGGTCTTGTAGCTATGCTGCTTTTGGGAAGGGGAGGATGCAAATCAAGAGGGCTAAACCAATCAAACAGGGTGAAAATACCCACTTCAAGGAAGAACCCACTGCAACCCCATGGCCACCTTCGCATTCACGGCAGGTGCAAATGCGCATTCACCACTGCCCCCTTGTGCCCACATGCATGCACATGCACGGCAGGGTGTTGGGTGGGAACCCCCTCCTCTCGGGCTCGCTACCTCGCGCCCTCTCTCGCCTCACCACCCTCCAAGTGCTGTCAGCCCACTCCCTGCTCTTCCTCCTCCCCCCTGCCCCTCCTATCCACTCCACTCCCGGCCTCCTCCCCTTGCCCCCCCACCCACGCCCCCCCCGTTTGAATCTTCACAGCAATGCACCGCCTCCCACTGCTCCGCCCTGCAGCCTCCTGTATCACGTGTTGTCTCCCCACTTATGCACCCCCCCCCTTCCCCTCCCCATCTGCTACAATGCCTATCCTGCTACAATACCTATCCTGCTACAATGCCTCTCCTGCTACACGGCCGTCTGCCTCCCCACTGAGAGTACTCCCTCGTCTCCCTCCTCTCCCTCGTGCCTCATCTCCCACCCCCCTCCTTCCGTCATCTCCCCTCCACTTTTCTCCCTTTTCCTTCCCCACCCCGCCCCCTCTCCCACCCCCCTCCCCCCCTCCCACCACCAGAGCACTGGACAGCAGAGGCATTTCGGGCGAGCTGCCTCGCTTCCTCTCCGCACTCACCCGACTCTCCGTTCTGTGCGCCCCTCCCCATACTGTGCGCCCCTCCCCATACTGTGCGCCCCTCCCCATACTGTGCGCCCCTCCCCATACTGTGCGCCCCTCCCCATACTGTGCGCCCCTCCCCATACTGTGCGCCCCTCCCCATACTGTGCGCCCCTCCCCATACTGTGCGCCCCTCCCCATACTGTGCGCCCCTCCCCATACTGTGCGCCCCTCCCCATACTGTGCGCCCCTCCCCATTCTGTGCGCCCCTCCCCATACTGTGCGCCCCTCCCCATACTGTGCGCCCCTCCTCACCCCAAAGCACCCTGTGCCCCTTCACACCCTGTGCGCCCCTTTCTCCGGCCCTCTGCTGCACCCGTGGTGCCATTTCGATATCCCATTGTTCGACCATCCCTCTGCAGCCTTTCTTTTGCCCTTTTTTTGCCTCTCTCCACTTCTCTCTAGTTTCGACCATCAGGGTGACTTTTGAGTCGACTCAAAAGTCACCTCTCTAGTTTCGGTCATCTCGACTCAAAAGTCACCTCTCTATGTTTCCCAACCCTCATCTCACTCAGTGATGTGAGCAACACAAAGCTTCAAGGAACCATCCCCCCCACTTATGGAGCCCTCGACTTTTTCACCTTGTGCGATTTCTTCCATCCATCCCCGTGCAAGCCCCTTTTCTTCCATCGATCCCCGTGCAAGCCCCTTTTCTTCCATCCATCCCCGTGCAAGCCCCTTTTCTTCCATCCATCCCCGTGCAAGCCCCTTTTCTTCCATCCATCCCCGTGCAAGCCCCTTTTCTTCCATCCATCCCCGTGCTAGCCCCTTTTCTTCCATCCATCCCCGTGCAAGCCCCTTTTCTTCCATCCATCCCCGTGCAAGCCCCTTTTCTTCCATCCATCCCCGTGCAAGCCCCTTTTCTTCCATCCATCCCCGTGCAAGCCCCTTTTCTTCCATCCATCCCCGTGCAAGCCCCTTTTCTTCCATCCATCCCCGTGCAAGCCCCTTTTCTTCCATCCATCCCCGTGCAAGCCCCTTTTCTTCCATCCATCCCCGTGCAAGCCCCTCTTCCTCCCTCACCCCCGTGCAACTGTCGTGGTCTGTCCCTTATTGCTGTGTGTGTGGAAGATTGAGAATGCGTTAAGTGAAGATATGAACAATATACACTCTTATATCCTTCTGTTTAGTGTATACTATAGAAACGCACAGATGGAAAGTTTCCGGTGTATCTTCTACCTGCCCCTGCTCACTCTCAGACAGTTTTTCGGGGTAACTTGCCCAGCAGACGGCACAAGCTGCGAAATCAATCAGAACCGTTCATCCACGTTCTGCAACCTCTGCTCTGCGTTCTGCTCCACGTGTATCTCAATCAACGGTCAGAATCGCATCACTATTGCATCTAGCACCACTACTATGACTACATCACACCAACCAACCATGCACTCAACTCGCCCCTGCTGCTTCTCGTCCATGCAACACTTGTGCTTGTGCCTCTCTTTATCTCGCTGCTCAAACTCGCCCCCCCCCGCATTTTCCCCCTCCAGCAACCTGCCCTTCCATTATTACTCTCCATCACACCCCATCACATCCCACCCACCCACCCATCCTATCTTCCCCCCATCCCAAACCCCCTCCCCTCCCCCCCAGCACCAATCCCCAAAGCGCCTCCCCCTTCTCCACCGCCCCCTCCGCCATCCCCTTCCCCCCCGCCTCCTCCCCCCATCATCAACGTTCTCCTCGCCCCCCCTTCTCCTCCTCCCCCTCCGCCATTCTCCCTCCCACCGTCTACAATCGCGGTGGCAGCAGTGGGTGCAGTGGTGGTGCTGCTGCTGGCGGTGTTGGCAGTGGGGTGGGGGATCTGGAGGTGGAGGCAGGGGAGGGAGCAATCGTGGGAGGATTTGAGTGAGTGGGGAGGGGAGAGGGATGGGGAATCCTCGAGGGCATAAGGCATGAAGACGTGAATGCATGATTGCATGATGGGTTGATGGCGTGATGGTTGGGGTTGTTATGGGCCGTGCAGCATCCTGTTGGCATGCCGGAATGTGTTGTGTGTGTGTGTGAGTGTGTGTGTGCGTGTGTGCGTGTGTGTGCTTGTGTGTGCGTGTGTGTGTGTATGTGTGCGTGGATGTGTGTATGTGTGTGTTTCTGCCCTCTTCATCATTCTCCTACTCCTCTCCTAGTCTCCTGCCCTATTCTCCTCTGCCCGTTTCGTGCTCATCCTCCCAGCTCATAGCTCATCCTCCCAGCTCATTCCCCCCCCTGATTCCCCTCTTTGCGCCCTTTCCCTCGTCCCCCTGCAGCCGCGCCCATGCTAAGGCACACACCCCCCTGCCCGCACATGCCCCTGCCTGACATCCTCAGGGCCACCAATGGGTGGGCGCAGGGGCGGAGGGTGGGGGCAGGCAGATGGAGTGACGTGTACCTGGGGGAATGGGCGGAGGATGGGGATGGGGGGAAGCATGGGGGGCATGATGCGGAGGAAGCAGGAGAGAAGAAGCACGAAGAGGGAGAGGTGGCGGAAGGTTCACAGCGGAAGGGGAGCGACAAGTGGGAGAGGGCGCAGGGGAAGCAGTTTTTAAGGGCACGGATGGGGAAGGGGGGGAGGCGGGGGGAGAAGTGGGCAGTGAAGCGCATGAGGGTGGGGGCGCATTGGGCAGAGAGGGCGGCGTTTGAGCGCCATGTGGGGGGGCTGGCGCGCCTAGCGCACCCCAACGTGCTGCCCCTCGTGGGGTGGTGCTGCTGGCAGGGCGCAAAGGGGGGCGAGGCATTGGAGGAGGGGAAGGGGAGGGACGTAGGTGCGGAATGGGGGGGAAGGGAGGCACGGGTAAGGGAGCAGTGGAGAGGTGGGGGAGAGGGTGGCGCGCAGGAGGGGGAGACGCAGGAGAAGGGGGAGCAAGAGCAGGAGAGGGGGAAGGAGGCAAGGGAGGAGAAGGAAAGGGAGAAGCAGGAAGGGGGGAGTGAGCAGGTGTTGGTGTACGAGTGGATGGAGCGGGGCAGCTTGCAGGCAGCACTGCAGTCAGGTGCGCACTGCAGTCAGGTGCGCACTGCAGTCAGGTGCGCACTGAGGCCGCTCAAGGCAGTGCAAAGGCACGGCCGTCTTGCTTTCCTTGCTGCCTCTGAGCCGCTCAGCCCCTCTTTACAGTGTCAACGCACCTGTGCCGCGTCCATCCATCCCCACGCCTCCTCCCATAACCACCTGCAGGCACCATGTGCTTGTCGCTGCAGCAGCGGGTGGGCATGGCAGTGGGCGTGGTGAGGGCGCTGAGGGCGGTGCAGAGCCACGGGCAGGTGCATGGCGACCTCAAGCCCTCCAACGTGCTGCTCGGGGCGGCCTTTGAGGTGCGTCAGCTGCCATTGTGCCACACAGGACGCACTGTGAAATGCGTGCTTCCTTTGCGGTGCGATGCCCTGGACCCCTGTCCCGATGGCCTGCTCTATTATGTCAACTCAAGAGCCACAGTCGCGGCGCCCTCCCGTCGTCTCACTTCCCTCCTCCCTGCCTCTCCTCCATCTCCCCCCTCCCAGGCTGTGTGTGGGCGACTGAGGTGTGGTGCGCATCAGGCATTGAGTGCACGTGGACATGGCCAGGGGCTTAGAAAGGCAGTAGCAATGTTCCCTCTGCTGTCTCACTCCCTTCCTTGCCCGTCCCTTCTCACACCGCCATCGTCCCTCACTCATTCCGTGAATCTTCAATGCTCTCTGCCTCTCGCCATCGTCCCCCACCCAGCCGCGTGTGGGCGACTGGAGTGGGGTGCGCATGGGGCAGCGCGTACACGTGGACATGGGCAGGGGTCTGGGAAGGCACCAGGAAGGTTCCTCGCCAAGCGGGGGCGGGGAAGAGAGAGACAGTGAGGGGAGGAGCAAGGGTGGCAGCAGCAGTGACAAGGGAAGCAGCAGTGGCAAGGGTAGCAGCAGTGGCAAGAGTGGCAGTAGTGGCTTTTTGTGGGGGACAGGTAGGAGTGGCAGCAGGAGCAGCAGCAGCAGCGGGGGAGGGCAGCAGGCGTGTGTGCTGCGGTGCACGGAGGGGCATGTGGACCCGGCCGTGCTGCACACCGGCATTGCCACCCCCACCAGTGACATGTACAGGTACGGCTTCAATCAACCTGCCCCTCCACTTTGCGTTCACCAATGTGGAGTGTGGGTTGCAGCTTCTACAGCTGCTCACTCCCGTACCCCTTGCCTGCCTGCCCGTACCCCTTGCCTGTCTGCCCTCACCCCTTGCCTGTCTGCCCTTCCCTCCGCCAGTGTGGGCGTGCTGCTGCTACAGCTGCTCACAGGGTGGGCAGGTCCCTTGCGGCACGTGGATGGGCAGCGCACCCACATCTATGACTGGGTGCGTGGGGCTCTGCTGATCAGAGGATGGTCTGGGAGGCCGTGGCATGGCATGGTGTGGCATGGTGTGGCACGGTTGCATGGTATGCCATGGTGGGATGTCATGGGATGTCCAGCGAATTCCAGAAATGTCTTGGTGCTATGCTCATATCACACAAATCTACACCTCATGCTCACACCTGCACAGCATGCTCACACCTCTGCACCTAATGCTCACACCTCGGCACCTCATGCTCACACCTCGGCACCTCATGCTCACACCTCGGCACCTCGTGCTCACACCTCGGCACCTCGTGCTCACACCTCGGCACCTCGTGCTCACACCTCGGCACCTCGTGCTCACACCTCGGCACCTCGTGCTCACACCTCGGCACCTCATGCTCACACCTCGGCACCTCGTGCTCACACCTCGGCACCTCGTGCTCACACCTCGGCACCTCGTGCTCACACCTCGGCACCTCATGCTCACACCTCGGCACCTCGTGCTCACACCTCGGCACCTCGTGCTCACACCTCGGCACCTCGTGCTCACACCTCGGCACCTCATGCTCACACCTCGGCACCTCGTGCTCACACCTCGGCACCTCGTGCTCACACCTCGGCACCTCATGCTCACACCTCGGCACCTCGTGCTCACACCTCGGCACCTCGTGCTCACACCTCGGCACCTCGTGCTCACACCTCGGCACCTCGTGCTCACACCTCGGCACCTCGTGCTCACACCTCGGCACCTCATGCTCACACCTCGGCACCTCGTGCTCACACCTCGGCACCTCGTGCTCACACCTCGGCACCTCGTGCTCACACCTCGGCACCTCGTGCTCACACCTCGGCACCTCGTGCTCACACCTCGGCACCTCGTGCTCACAGCTCGGCACCTCGTGCTCACAGCTCGGCACCTCGTGCTCACACCTCGTGCTCACACCTCGGCACCTCGTGCTCACACCTCGGCACCTCGTGCTCACACCTCGGCACCTCGTGCTCACACCTCGGCACCTCGTGCTCACACCTCGGCACCTCGTGCTCACACCTCGGCACCTCGTGCTCACACCTCGGCACCTCGTGCTCACACCTCGGCACCTCGTGCTCACACCTCGGCACCTCGTGCTCACACCTCGGCACCTCGTGCTCACACCTCGGCACCTCGTGCTCACACCTCGGCACCTCGTGCTCACACCTCGGCACCTCGTGCTCACACCTCGGCACCTCATGCTCACACCTCGGCACCTCGTGCTCACACCTCGGCACCTCGTGCTCACACCTCGGCACCTCGTGCTCACACCTCTGCACATCATGCTCACATCTGTGCACCTTGTGCTCACATGGTTCTGCTTCCTCAAGCCCCTAGCCCTCCTTCACTCCTCATCCTCCCCTTCCCACTTCCCCCTGGTTCCTCCTCGTCCCCTCCCCTTGCCCACTCACTTCTCGTCCCCTCCCCTAGCCTACCTACTTCTCGTCCCCTCCCCTTGCCCACCTACTTCTCGTCCCCTCCCCTTGCCCACCTACTTCTCGTCCCCTCCCCTTGCCCACCTACTTCTCTTCCTCTCCCCTTGCCCACCTACTTCTCGTCCCCTCCCCTTGCCCACCTACTTCTCGTCCCCTCCCCTTGCCCACCTACTTCTCGTCCCCTCCCCTTGCCCACCTACTTCTCTTCCTCTCCCCTTGCCCACCTACTTCTCGTCCCCTCCCCTTGCCCACCTACTTCTCGTCCCCTCCCCTTGCCCACCTACTTCTCGTCCCCTCCCCTTGCCCACCTACTTCTCTTCCTCTCCCCTTGCCCACCTACTTCTCGTCCCCTCCCCTTGCCCACCTACTTCTCGTCCCCTCCCCTTGCCCACCTACTTCTCTTCCCCTCCCCTTGCCCCCCTACTTCTCGTCCTCTCCCCTTGCCCACCTACTTCTCTTCCCCTCCCCTTTCCCAGTTTCCCCTCTTTTTCTTCCCAAATCCCTCTTCCCCCTCCCCCACCCTGCTCACCCGCAGGCCCAGCAGCACCTAGCAGCTGGTGACGTCTCTCCTCTCCTCGATCCCCTGTTGCCTCACCCCCCACCCCCTCCCGCCCTCCTCCTCCCCCTCTTCCGCCTCGCCCTCGCCTGCTCCTCCCCCTCCCCATCCTCCCGCCCCACCCCCTCCTCTGCCCTCGCCACTCTCAAGCCCCTCCGCTCCTCCCTGCTTCGCTGGGGACGAGCAGCAGGCAGGGAGGGTGGAGAAAGTGGGGGACGGAAAGAGGGGGAGGGGTGGGGAATGGGAGAGGTTGAGGGGGAAAGTACAGGGGGGGGAAGAGTGGGGAGTGCTGGGGGGAGGGGGGAGTGGGGCGGTGGCAGTGCGTTGGGTGCAAGGCTGGCTATGCTCGGTTCAGAGGATAGTAGGGAGTATGTGGTGTAGACGGGGAGGCATTGCCAGCCTTTGCATGTTGGGGGAGGCCTTACCTGTCCAGATTCAGAGGGCATGCGGCATCTGTGTGCGATCATGGCATAAACGCCACTGGTGAAGCTGGGTGTATACAGGGTTAATAAAATCAAACATCGATTTCACTAGACTCTATGATATCAGTTGTGGGGAGAGTTACCTTAAAGTATGGAAGATGAGGGAAAGAGAAAGGCGGAGGGGGGAGGGGGGGGGGAGGGGGGGAGGGGGTGGTGGGAGGGGAGGGTGAAGAACTGGGTGGACTGGTGAGAGGAATGTGCTGGAAAGGAGGGGCGAGTGGGATGAGTCTGAGATCACTCCGTTTTGCATGGCAAAGTTAGCCTAGACGCTTGGTAGAAGGCTGAAGGTATTGATGCGGATGTAACAGTATGCATAGGCAAATGCGTTTGCGTGCGAAGGTGTGTTTCTTTCCTGTGGTATTTGCTTTCGCGAGTTTCGCTGCACGTTGCAGATACTCAAGACATGTGCGCTTCGTCATAACATTGTACACATTATGATGAAGCATATCAGCGGAAAGGACGTGCTCGCTAAACAACCCATGATGGAAGTACCAGTTCGGTATACCGTGCTTACCCGGGTAAACGACCCGGGTGTCTAATGCAACCCCGGGGAAAAAAAGGTCGTGGGGCTACCGTATTATGTGAGTGTAAATTCAATAGACCTACCGTAGATACTACGGTACATGCATTTTTTTTTTTTTCCATTTCATTGTCCAAGTGTTACAAAAGGGCCTTGCACTTCAACAAAGTTTGAAATCGGACGTACCGTTTAGCCCCAGATATAAGCGCATATGCGCTTATAATAAAATCGTTTTTTTTAGGGGTGGCGCTTGTAATTTAGTAACGGCCATAAGCGCCGGCACTTTTATAATGTAAAAAATGATTTTTGCTTTTAGAGGTACGAAACTGAAGCCCTCAATTAGGCGAACAAGACCATGTACTGTGCGCATGGGATCGTGCATGAAATCCCGCCGAAAACAGCCGCGACTCGATTTCCCACAGCACAAAGCCTGTCTTGGAGCAATGCACCTGCCAGCGATGACGTGCATCGTGTCGTGCGGCCCAATAGGAATGTCATGCACTGCCATGGTGCAACATTTCACCCGAATCTTCAATAAGGGGGTGGAATATCCCTGCTAGCGCAGCAGATACGTGCCGCGATTCCCTCCTCTGCGGGTTTAGGCAGGGGGGTACCCGACTATCCTTGAAGAGGACCTCGAGCCACACACCAGAAGGGGTCCCCTCCAAACCCTCATTTCTTCTCCAATTCTTTCACTTTCTCATTCAGATTCTTGCTCTCTCCCGCCATGTTGCGGAAGCCATGGCCGAATTCTCTGGCACTCATTTCTTGTTCAAGAGGAAACTTACCCGTAAGCCCGCCTTTGTAGTTGACGCGGACGGATGGTACTCTCGTGTCCCACCTAGCCCACCAGAGCCACCACAGCCTCCAGCGCCTCCTGCGCCGCCTGCTCCTCCTGCTCCTCCTGCGCCTCCTGCGCCTCCTGTTCCTCCTGTTCCTCCTTCTCACCCGTTGCCGGTGTCTCCTGTTCATGGGGGCAATCCTCCCGTGCTCACGCTTCTGCTCCCATCGGCGTTCGACGAATACCTCTCGGAACCAAAGTCCAAGATGCCCACAGATGAGTATGTGGATGTTGAGTATGTGCCAGGACAGCGCTGGGGCCGTCCCGACGATTGTACGTGGGACGAATCTGCAGTCGGCGCCGACGACGATGTCCCTGACGCTGAGGAGGAGAGTCTCGAGGAGGGCGGCAAAGGCGCCGAGGGTGGCACGGAGACTAACACCGAGGCCGGCACCGCTGAGGATGTGTTTCCCGAGGGTGCGCCGGGCGGCGACGAGGACGACGGTGTTGAGTACTGGTCACGCGACGGGCTCTCAGAGAAGTTGCCGATACCTACCTACACTCCTACTAATCGCAAGCGACCCCACCCTGCTACACAGAACCGTGATGCCCGCCCCCCCTCTCCTAGGCATAAGCTCAACGATCACAAGCGTCAAGCCTATACCGCCGCCGAGAAACTGAAGTATGTCGCGCTTCTGCAGGTGACGGTTTCGATGCGTGAGTTGGCTCGCGAGAGCGGGATACACCGCAAGTGCCTCTCCAACTGGAAGCGTTCAGCGGATTTCCTGAAGGAAGCTTACTCCGCACGGAAGCGGATGCACGGTCCGGGAGATCGTCGTGGATCCGACCGATGAAGATGAAGGTGTAGGAGCGACTCCTCGAGTGGCACCGCAAAGGAACTGCCGTGTCGGTGGGCCGCCTGCAGGAGTGGTCGAAAGAGTTTATGAAGGTTCTCTACCCTCTGGAGAAGTGGAAGGGGAGTCAATGGTAGTCGGAGCGGTTTCGGAAGCGCTGGAATCTAAGCGTCCGCATGAAGACAAGGGTTGCACAGAAAACCGCCGCTCGTAAGATTGCGTCTGCATACGGTAATTGTTTCTGCTTTACCATGAGATGTAGTAATTGCACCCGTGTGTTTCGGCCTGTCTCCCACCGTCTCGCAGATGTCGCGGAGCAGTGCAAGAGTTTTTAGCAGTTCGTCCGAGACAAGCGACGCGAGCGCGGCATCGAGACCACGTGGATCATCAACGCCGACCAGACTCCTCTCTGGCTGGAGATGCTCGCCACCACGACCGTTGAGCAAGCGGGCGTTCGCTCGGTGCCCATCAGGAGTGCCGGGTACCAGAAGGAGCGTGTGATCGTGATGTTGGCCTGCACGGCGGACGGCGCTAAGCTCAAGCCGTGGGTTTTTTTCAAGAGGAAGACGCTGCCAAAGGGCGACTTTCTGCCTGGTAAGTGATGTTTGTTTGACGTGTGTTTGACGTGGGTTTTTTTCAGTTTGCTTTTCCGTTTCAGTAATTTATTGTTTCACATCCCGATGTTTATTGTGCAGATGTGGTCGTGGCGTGCCACGAGAACGAGTGGATGGACTCCGCGGGCATCATTCGCTGGCTCGACGAGTGTGTCAAGCCGTTCTTGAAGCCGTCTTTCGGTCGGCACTCCAGGAGCTCCATGGTGGTTCTCGATTCCTACCGCGGGCACCTCACCAAGGGGGTGAAGGAGAAGTTACACGAGATGAATTGCGTGCCGTCAATCATCCCGTCGGGCTGTACGGGGGAGATTCAGCCCCTCGACGTCTCCGTCAACAAGAGCTTCAAGGACTCCGTCCGTCAGCAGTACCAGAAGTGGTTTCAAGAGGAGGGGCAAGAACAGCTTACTAAAGCAGGTACGAAATTAAACTGGTTTCTGTTTATGCACGTTGATAAAATCACCCCGTTATTGATCTAATTACTATCGTTTCTTTGTGTTGTTTCAGGGAATCTCAAGAAGCCGCCACCTGCAGTGGTCGCGGGCCTGGACGGCAGTGCCCGCCGACCTCATCAAGCGTGCCTTCCTCACACGTGGCATTAGCAACGCGCTTGACGGCAGCGAGGACGGCCTCGCCATGGCGCACAGGCGGACCCAGCTGACCGCGGAAGTGGATGTCAACGACGACATCATCGCCGATGGCTTCTTTGGCAACAACTTCCAGGAGCCCGAGTTTGACGAGGAGGAGTAGCTAGTTGGTTCCTTGGTAGAAAGGCCTTTGTAAACGCCTGTTCATTGAGTTCGAAGTAGGGTGTTGTAATTGTTGGTGCTAGATTTCTAATGAAATGCTTTCAGAGATGTTAATTGTTGATGTTTTACTAAAAAAGAGTAAAAATGTTCAAGGTATACGCTTATAATAAGTACGGGTATAAATTGGGGTGCGCCTATAATCGAGGAACGACCATAAGCGCCATGCTCCAGATAAAGGCGCCGGTGCCTTTAATCGGACGGCGCCTATATCCGGGGCCATACTGTACTGGCCGATAAAGCGCCACGATGCAATGCACGGTCAAGGAACTGCCAAACCACGTTCAGTGCCGCCCCTGCCTAGTAGCAACACGAAACACAATTGAGGCCCAACACTGCTGTCAGAATATTGCAAAATGTCCAACAGGGACTTCACGTTCGCGCGTTCTCCTCACCATGCACGAAAAAGCATTCACCTCCATACTGTTCGAATTGATAGAAAACCGAATGTTGTCGACACCTTCCCTACGACCCGTTGCTTGCTCAAGGGTATTGTTAGAAAGCATGGCGCTTCATACATTCTTGTGCAGAACACAACAGCTATAGCCCTTTTCACGAGCATCGGCATTCTTTTTGCTCGTAAGGTCCAAGTAGACAACGTATGCGGCGTGATTGTCAACGTACAGCATGTTCCCACTACTCCTGTAGCTTAGACTTTAGACGCATCTCCTAGCAATACTGCATCCCGTCCTAGCAATACTCCAGAAGTTTCTGTCCCCGTTTTCCTGACGCAAACGAACACGAGGCGGCCTGTCTTGGGCCGCGACACATCTGCTACAGAAGCATGCGGGCTGCAAACCAAAGCCGTTCGTTGCGACCGGACCGTCTTCGTCAAGCTTGCATAGTTAAATACGATGAGGAAGGAGCTGCTAATGGTTCGCGAGAAGGCCCGACATGCCGGCGTGCAACCATCGGCGATACGTTGTTCGAAAAAGGAGGAAGCACATTACAAAGACGCCTACGGTTGACGTAAGCGCTTGCATGGTGCTGGTAGGAGGTCCATACACCCTGACATGGAGGTTTCCGTGTATCGTACGTTCCTTATACGTCGTGCGAAGGGATTGCCTGTGACCATTGCGATGCTACGCGCATGGAGCGTGGGTTTCATGAAGAGGCACCATCCTCAATCAGACTGGCACGCTTCAGTGCAATGTACAACGAGGTTCAGAATCCGTTGGGGTCTTGTTCTTCGAGTGAAGACCAAAATTGGGCAGAGGGTAAGGGGTTTTCTTGAAAATCGAAGGTTGTCGTCTTCATCCCGCATGGTTTCCATGAGCTTTCCATCTTTCCTCCCACCCTTGCACAGATTGCAAGGAAAAGGTCGAGG